AGATGGTTGGATGTGGTAAAGGCTTATGACTGTGAGATCCTGTACCACCCGGGCAAGGCTAATGTTGTAGCCGATGCCCTGAGTCGCAGGGCGGAGAGTGCCCCAATACGAGACATTTCTATGAGGATGACAGTGATGACTCCGGTGTTGGATACCATACAAGAGGCCCAGACTGAGGTTGTGAGATTGGAGAACTGCAAGAGAGAGCGGGTGATTGGGCAGGTATCTAAGTTCATTACCGATAGTCGAGGGCTTTTGACCTTTCAAGGTCGGATTTGGGTGTCGTTAGCAGGCGGGTCACCTACCATATTGATGGAGGAGGCACACAGATCGAGGTTCTCAATCCATCCTGGGGCCACTAAGATGTATTTAGATCTGAAGAGAGAGTATTGGTTCCCAAGTATGAAGAGTGATGTGGCGTGGTTTGTTGAGATGTGCTTGACCTGTCGCAAGGTTAAGGTCGAGCACCAGCGTCTGCACGGCAAGTTGCAGCCACTTGAGGTTCCCCAATGGAAGTGGGAACAGATTTCTATGGATTTTATCACCAAATTACCGAGGACTGTGAGGGGTGTCGATGCAATTTGGGAGATCATTGACCGGCTGACAAAGAGCGCTCACTTCCTTGCTATAAGTGAGAGCTCCTACGCGGAGAGGCTGGAGGAGATTTATGTAAGGGAGATGGTGTCGAGGCATGGGGTGCCAATCTCGATTTTGTCAGATCAAGACGTACGTTTCACTTCCAGGTTTTGGAAGAAGTTCCATGAGGAGTTGTGTACGAGGTTGCACTTTAGCACTGCTTACCACCTACAGACGGACGGACAGAGTGAGCATACGATTCAAACGCTCGAGGAGATGCTCCGAGCATGTTTATTGGACTTCGAAGGAAGTTGGGACACATACCTACCGCTGGCTGAGTTTTCCTACAACAACAACCACCATTCAAGAATTGGTATGCCTCCCTTTGAGCTTTTGTATGGGAGGAGATGTTGGACTCCCATATGCTGGGGAGAGGTAGGGCAGCGAGTGATGGGTAGCACTGAGATAGTGCTTCAGACGACCGAGCAGATACAACAAGTCAGGTAGAGATTGCTGACAGCTCAGAGTCGCCAGAAGATTTATGCAGATAGGCGACGATCCGAGCTTGAGTTTCAAGTTGGAGACTTCGTACTCCTGAAGGTATCCCCTTGGAAAGGAGTGATCCGATTCAGGAAGAGGGGCAAGTTGGGCCCCCGATACATTGGTCCATTAAGAGTGACCGTGAGGGTGGGCATGGTGGCGTATCTTTTAGAGCTACCCGCGGAGTTGAGCTAGATACATGATACCTTCCACGTGTCTCAGTTGATGAAGTGTATAGCCGATGAGACGACAGTAGTGCCGCTGGAGGATATTTAGATAGATGCGAACCTGAATTACGTTGAGAGGTCAGACACAATTGTGTATCGGAGGATCAAGGTTCTGAGGAATAAGGAGGTGCCCCTGGTTCAGGTCCAGTGACAACATCGGAGAGGGTCCGAGATGACCTGGGAGCCGGAGTCGTAGATGCAGGAGTAGCACCCGGAGTTGTTTTCGGCATGAGACTTCAAGGGTGAAGTCTGGTTCTAGTAAGGGAGAAATGTAACATCCCGAAATTTAGGTACAACCATTTAACCCTTCTCTTTTTCCAAGTTATCAAGTTTAGCCCTTGAGTGGATAACGTTACAAGTGAGTACGTTGGGCGTACCGAAGTGTAAGTCGCACGTACTCATGCACTTAAACTAGATGCGGAATCAATTTGGTATGCGGGGCGTACCAAAGTTACGCTGGGCGTAACCGGCTCAGATGCAAAACCCTAAATGAGACTTGAAGGCTATAAAAGGAATGATAAGGCCCTTACCCCAGCCACCATATTGCAGTAAGTGAAACCCTAAGAGAGCAAAAACCTGTTATAAGCTTGTGTGTGTGTTCTTAAGCTTGAAAGTGCCATTTTGTGTTGGTGAAGGAGAAGAGAAGGCCATTGTAGTAGCTAGAAGTTGGAGGAAAAGCTTAGATCCGAGTTCTACAGAGGTTGGAGCTTCATTTGGAGGTAAAAATCTCAAAGCTTTCCTTGCCATTGTTGATTTGTGCTTTATGGACCCATTTTTAGGGTTTTTGGTTCCAAGGTGGAGACTTTATGAGCAAAGGGTCTCCATAAGCTTAGATCTGCCCTTTTCCGGTGTAATATGTGTTGTAGGTTCATAAAAATCCAATCTTGGACATGAACATTAAGCCATGCATGAGTTATAGGCTTAATGAGGAAATAAGAAAGGTGTTTAGAGTGATTAGAGACCTTTACAGCCATGCAAAGGCTTAAAGGTATCGACTTTATGGATTAAGTGGCCTTAGAATAGTCAGATCTGGAATTTGAGCTAATGTCTTAACCGTTTAAGACTAAAAATCAATAAGAGCATGAAACTGGGACTTACACTCGGCGTAAATCCTAGAACGCACCGCGTAAGGGTTTGAGACCCTGATTTTGGATCGTCGGAGTACACTCCGCATACAAGAGCTGCTACGCGCCGCATACTGCCCCCTGTTGACTTTCGTTGACTTTAAGGGTTTGGTCAACATTTGGAGATTTGGACTATTGAACGGGTAAAATGGTCTTTCCCCTTCTGAGAGATTATAGAAAGGGTCTAGTCTAGTTTTTGAGAATCATGGTTAATTAGAGGTAAAATACTTTATGTGATTAGGCAGAGGCTTGATCAGAATTTCGAGTTCGAGACTTTCCGAGATTTCCTCAGGTGAGTCTTCTCGTTATACGTTACCTAGAGTGGTAATTAGAGTTATGTGACAGAGTATCTTGTATGCTTTTTGTATGATGTGATTTCTATGTGATTTTTGCTATGAATGATTCAGAGTTTAAAAAGTTAGGACCAGAAGGTTCACAGAGTTAGGACCAGAGGTTCCATAGAGTTATGGGACTGGAGGGTCCCACTGAGACACATTGACCAGAGGGTCATACAGAGTTATAGCCTCGAGTGGCTAATGTGTGTTGTATTTGGTATTTTGGGGAACTTACTAAACATTTATGCTTACAATGTTATGTGTTATGTGTTTCAGGTACTAGCGAGGATCGTAGGAAGGTGGTGACATGATCCATACACACTGACAGAGGATTGTATTTTGTGATATTGGGATATGTTTTATTATGATGACATCAGTTAAACATGAGATTTAAGAATGTTAAATGAGTTTTATGTTGTTTGAAAAATGAAAATTGTTTTAAATTTTCACGTCGGTACACCCATTCTACCCTTGTGGCTCTGAAGCACAGATCAAGGGCTTAAATCACTTAACCAACGCTATTAATATTGAATAAGGTCTAAAATTTATTCCCTTGAAAGCCCAAAATCTTTACTCAATCAAATTACGGTCCGTTATCCTGAAATTAGAAACATTATGAAATTAGATGTTCAAGAATGCTAAACATCAAATGGAAACTTTCCACTAGAAATCGCAAGATTAGAAGCTATGACATTTCAATAGTATGAATAGAAACAAATTGGTGAAACAAGGTTGAAAGAAAAGCAAGCCAGAGAGCCAGGGAAGAATATTTACTGAGATGCTTCGTTTCTAGCAATGCTTCCTACAACTTAGTTGAGTGGTGATGCTTCCTTCGCATTGGTCGCATGTGTCTTCTTCCTTTCTAGTTGTCATATAGGTGTAACTGAAGAATATTTGAAAGTAAAACATGTCATAGAAAAGGGAATAATACATACCGAAGTTGCTTCCTCGCTTATCGTTCTTCTTTCGCCTGAGATAGTTGAGTTGTGATGCTCCCTTCGACTTGATTGTCAATGTGACTTTCTGATTTTAGTTTGAGTATAAATGAATAAAGGCAAATGAATTGGTCTTTAACGTAGGAATAAAAACCACTTTTCGTTTCTATAAATTTTCATCTAATTAATAAATATTATTTTTCAAAAAAAAATCATTAGAAAATAGAAAAATTAAATATGTAGCAACAACATTTTGTTTCTATAAAATTTTCATCACTTTTAGGAGAGAGGAAATTTTTGGCTTGTCATCCTCCTTAATAAATAAAAATAATTTATCACTTTTCAATTTTTTATTAGTTTTGACACTTGTTATTTTATAGTATTTTTGAAATAAATATTATTCACTTGTTAATTTCTGGTTTGTTTAATATACTTTTATATATATATATATATATATATATATATATATATATATATATATATATATAATATTAACTATAATATATATGATATTAAATTGTAATGAATATGTTTTTTTTTCTTATTTTAAAATTTACTTTAAAAAATATTTATTATTTACACTTTAATGTTTAACTTTTTTTTTAAATAATCTCATATAATATACAATTTTTACACCTAATATTCTAATAAAACATCATATAAACAGAATTTCATGCTTACCATATTGCAACAAAAAAAATCGTTCCTAAACCTTGTACCAAATGAAAAATACCTAAAATCCTGTCGGAACTAATTTTTGTTTCTATAGGATGGATCTGCAATAATCAGTTTTTGTTCATATAAACTCGTTGTCACATGTGACTATTGTACGTCGTCATCCGATGTCATGAGTGTCCTTATTTTTATTGCCGGTGGCAAGCTACCAAACTGCAAGAGACAGACTAAATTCATTATTTTATTTTATTTTATTACATTACCATTATATCTTTTGGACCTTAGTAGAAAATATTACTGGATGATGATAAATAAAATATTAACGTAGATGGAACTTAGACTTTTGGACCTTAGTAGAAAATATTACTGGATGATGATAGATAAAATATTAACGTATATGGAAATTAAAAGTGCGTAAACATATAGCTTATACTTGTTAATAAACCAACCATTCTCATTTCTTTAATGATATCATATATTAATTAATGAAAATATCAAATAACAAATAAAATGAGAACCCAATATTACATAAATACACAAATATTTATAGCTAGTATCGAGTTCATTATTCACTGCAAGGCTTCAACAATGAACACAGAACTAGTTTTTATTTCTTTGATTGTTTCCTCTCTCATCTTCTTCCTCTACTTTGTGTTCAAACGCTCAAAATCATTAAACCTACCACCAGGGCCACAAAAGCTACCTCTGATCGGAAACGTACACCAAATAGCAGGAACACTCCCACATCGCGCTTTTCGAGACTTAGCACGAAAACATGGCCCCATTATGCATATCCAACTCGGTCAAATTTCAGCAGTTATTATTTCATCACCTCGATTAGCCCAAGAAGTACTCAAAACCAATGATATTGCTCTTGCAGATCGCCCCACCACTTTTGGGAGTGAGCTTGTGCTTTATGGGAACACCGATATAGCTCTCGCCCCATATGGTGAGTACTGGAGACAAATGAAAAAGATCGCATCATTGGAACTCCTTAGTGCCAAAAAAGTTCGATCTTTCAGTCGAATAAGAGAGCAAGAACTTGATGGGTTCATTGAGTTTCTCCGATTATCATCAGGGAAACCGATAAACATACACAAAACCATCACCGAACTCATCAATAATGTTGTTTGCATGGCTTCCTTTGGAAAAAATTGTAAACAGCAACATGCTCTACTAGAGTTCTTGGATGAGTTTGCAAGAGTAAATAGTGGGTTTCATTTGGCGGATCTGTTTCCTGATTTTAAGTTTCTTTATGTGGTTTCTGGATTGAGATCGAAGTTAATGAAGCTCCATAAGACTCTTGACAAGATCTTCGATGATATTTGGGAGGAGCATGAAGGTAGAAAAAGAGATGGTGGGGATCAGGATGAAGATCTTCTTGAAGTGCTTCTTAGAATCAAAGATGAAGGAGGTCTTGAGTTCCCCATCACGAACAACAACATCAAAGCAATTTTTGTGGTAAGTTCTTCACAATCTATATAGTATGTTCAAATTTTTAGTATCGTATTTGAATTTAGAATTTCAGTTTTAAGATTTTTCTTGTTAAAATTTTGTTGGTGATAGTATAACCAGACGTTTATCTTCCTTTATTGGGATCTGAACTTAAAAAATATTTATACTTTTCACACGATTAGCTAAAATATCTTTTACAATAAGTTATTTAAAATCCACTTGGAACTTGCGAATCTGGCATTGGGAAGTGTATTTTCATGTTTAAAAAATATTTTTATATAGTGTATCCTTGATTATTTGATTATATCACTTCGTCTAAGATACAAATTTAAAATCATTGATTTTTTCTTCCATTTATATCCATATTAGTTTTCATCCCACTCATTTTGAAAGTGTATGAATAACTCTTAGTCTTTATTTTCAACGGGTGCTATTATACCTACTCACACTTATATAAATTATCAAATCATTGAAATACATATATTATCTACACAAAAGAATTATTCTACTCAAAAAAGAAATACACAAAACAATTTGAAAAATACATATAGAACACAATCACTTTGGAGGTACATGAATGACAACCAGGAAAACTAGTTGGTATCTAAATCCAAAGTACAAATCTATAATCCGCCATCCGAAAAAGCATTAAGACTACAATTTATTTGGGGTAATTCTATGTTTACTTCTAAATTTTTTCCTCAACCCATTTGTGAGTGGAATAATCTGTAACCCGTAATTTAACAATTTATGTAAAAGAGATACTTATAATTGCACTCTTTATTTGTTATCGTAATTATAAGAGTGTTTATAATTTACTACGCCACCGTTAACAGACATAGTTGACGTGGAAATTAAGTATTTCAAAATCAAATTGAAATTAAGCAGGCCAAAATTGACTTTTCTCATATTGGAATCCCACATGGTGTTGACGTGCTCCTATAGGAGTAGTTGTGCTAGTCAACATTCCTTTTTTATATTAGTGACACGATATTCCTCTATATTTTTGGAAGGCCAAATCAGATTAAAATTAAGTATTTTTAGGTGAATTTTGTTGAACTGTACAATTCTATAAAACATAAATAGTTGTATATAGAAAAAATTTAGGGTGATGCTAATAAGACATCCCTTAGACACCCTATAATCATTTTTATAAAAAGTCAACCTATAATCAACTTCTTGTAATCATCTTTTTCGGAAAACAGTGCAATTTCAACCAATAAAAATATTTCAAACATTAATTAGGGTTGTCTAAATGGTAAAATAGGATGTCTTATTACCCAACCCCAAAATTTATTATCTATAAATCATTTCCCATAGTATTAACTGATTGGTTACATTAACATAATTAAAGGCAACAAGTCAACAACTTTAGCTCTCGAGTGTCGCACAGATTTTAGTCAAATATTAAAATAATAATAATTTAATTTACATTTTACTATACAAGAAAAAAAGGAATTAATGACGACAAAAGTTGTAGATAAAAGCAATAAGGACAACAGGTCACAAGTAAAAGGTCACTTGTACTGTTTTGTTGCTATTACTCCAAATATCGCCAGTAAAGATATTTATCGCCGCTGGTGCTCTTGTCATCGATAATACCTTGTGTTGATGTTAATGCTCTTATCTCCGGTAATTCCTTTTGTCACCGCTAATTGTGTTACCGGTAGTAACATTTTTCATTTTTAATTTTGTTTTTTCATCTAAATCAACGATTTTTGGTGATAAAAAACTGATACCTAATGATATTAATGCAGAAAAAAATTATATAATGACATCCGAATAGGTACCAAATAGTCTTGTAATTTATTTCATACAAAAATAAACAGCCAAAGTTTTATAATTCTAACAAGTACCAAAATGTCATAACAAGTCTAACATACAAAACACAAACTAATTATACGACGAACCATCATCACCGTTCCTGTCGTTTCCTTCTTGATCTTTCCTCAATTGAAAAGATGCACAATGTTCCTCCATATAGGCCGTATCGTTGAATATTGCCCGAAGATTTTGCAACTACACAATAAATAACACCCTATATAAATTTATAAGTTAAATTGTCAAACATAAACAAAAACCACCAAAGTACATTGCCATTTCTTATACTTAAATACAAGAAATATCTAAAGTACATTGCTATTCATTGCACTAGGAACAAAAGCAGATCTACAAAATCAACATGCATTTATTGATACCAAAGTACATTGTTATTTTTAAACTAGGGGAAAAAACCAAAATACATTTCTATTTCTTGCACTTAAAACATAAACATAATTACAAATACAATTACCAAATCAACATGCATTTATTGCACATTATATAGATATATGAGACTTTGAAATTAAATAATCTACTTTTTTGTATTAAAGAACCTTAAACACAAGAAATACTAAAAGTACATTGATATTTTTTGCACTTAGGACAAAAAACAATTACCAAAGCTTTTAGCAAATAATCACCACAAACCAAAATTACCAAATGAACATGCATTTATTGAAATTAAAGAATATTGTTTTACATGTGATGGTTGTGGTGGTGGCTGTGATGGCTCTACAATCGGCAGGATAGCAAAAGGTTTTCAGCCGATACCTATGATATAGTCACGTCGTTCACCTAATACTCTCTCGAAATTAGCTCTTTCTTCAGCGGGTGATAACTCTTTTTCACCTTCTTGCCTTTATGTTTGTTCTAAGAGCTCTTCCACTAACCGATTCTGTATTTTCAAAAGTGATTAACAATTAAGTATAAATAACCATTTAATTATATGACAAAATTATAATTAAATAATTTATTATTGTTGTTTCGCCTTGACATTAACAAATACACCATTCTTATCGGTATGAGCCTTGCGGAACGTTTCCACTCTCTTCAGGTTTTGTTTAACATTAAAAATTAGATTATATTTTAAATAAATAATTACATAAATCGTACATTACCTTTTTATAGCAAGTACAGTTATATGAGCTCGATCCTCCACAGTTCACGGTCGATTGTTCACAGACTTTTTTATTTCTTTCTAAAGCAGTTAGGTGTTCATCCCTTTGGAAATACTCAATTGCTTTTCTCCAATAATCAACCTCCATATCGGGGGGGGGGGGGGGGGGCTAATTCTCTTAGGATATCCTCTTAGCCTCCGAGATTCAAAAAATATTATTTTGCATCGGCTTTAAGCTGTCGATAACCTTATAACAAAGCCGCTTCAAAACTATCTAACAACATAGCAGTGTATGGATCCCGGGACATCCGATCAAAATCAAACTTTGTCTACAAAAACAAAAAATGTTAGCCAAGTAAAAGCCAATTATAATTAACCATATATAATATTCTTATATAAATAATTTACCCATAAATGTTATTTTACTGTAACCTTTATTGCGGGGGCAACTTTTTTCCAATTTCTTTTATCAAAAAGGACCATCCGCCACATTATTTTTCAAATTTTGTATGCAAACATGTCATTCGGCTCTCCTACGGGATCATATGTCACATCGCTATTATAGTTCATGTAAATTGGTTTGCCTTTATTGTTTAAGATCACTCTTTCGAGCTTAATGTTTCTCACTTTCCCTCTAACTCTACTGTGTAGCACAACTACAAGTATAGTTAAAAATTATTAGAAACGGTATTTTATAATAACTGAATAAAAATACTAAAAAAAAATTCATAGTAAGACTTACTGTTGAGATTTAGATTAGATGGTTGATCGAACGGTTGAGATTTAACATAACGTGTTAGTGCGTATTCGGTCCCCAAAGAAGAAAACCCTAGAGAGATAAGTCGAAAATTCTATAAGCCTATAGAGATAGTTCTTATTTTTTAACCTATAAAGACATATCAGAGAGGGAGACCGAAAATTAAGAGGAAAAACTAGTCTACGGTTTTATCCCTAACATATTTATAGGGAACAACTTGAACTCTTAAGTTAACAAGTTTTCTAAGGATAATGCATATCTTTTCAAAAGACAAAACTGCAAAATTGGGCCCTAGGGTTTTTGAAAACCTATGGATAGAATCCAAAAAGTTTCAAACTTGCATGAAAGGTCCAAAATCAAGAATTTTCTTTGACTTTGTTCCCTGATACACTCGAAATGTCAAGTTTACCATTTTGAATTCTTTTTTATTTTCTTTATTTATTTTAGTATTTAAATAATTAAAAAGAAATAAAAAAAAATAAAATCGCACCCCATCCCTCTTCATTGGTACCCCCAATTTCTCTTCTCTATCTGACTATATACTTCATTGAAGAAATACTTATACTCACAAATTAAACACATAGTGAATAAAAAACCTAAATTTGCTAACCATAGATCTAATTTGTCAATTTCTAGTGATTCAATACTTAATGACAAATTCTTTGTTCTTTGTCTCTATTAAGTTTTACTTCTTCAACTAGTAAATCTTAGTTATGAACACTTTCCCCTTTAATTGACATACAAGTATTTGGGGGGTGTGTGTTTGTGTCTGCTTTCACTTTCGCTGGAGATGGGAAATACCGAGATATGGGTGGTAATTGTTAATATCTTTGGATTTTGTTTAGTAATAGATACATCAAAAACATGAGATTTGTTTCCTCTACAATTGGGATTTATGTAATTTTGGAGAAGAAAGTGGAGATATGGAGTACCTCAGGTTCAAAATTCATCTAGACATTATTTAGAGCCAACATTTCGAGGAGACTCTTGACCGGAATAAATGGTTGTCGGCTTTAGACAAGGAACCTGTGGGGCTAATTCTCTTAGGATATCCTCATAGCCTCCGAGATTCAAAAAATATTATTTTGCATCGGCTTTAAGCTGTCGATAACCTTATAATAAAGCCGCTTGAAAACTATCTAACAACATAGCAGTGTATGGATCCCGGGACATCCGATCAAAATCAAACTTTGTCTACATAAACAAAAAAGGTTAGCCAAGTAAAAGCCAATTATAATTAACCATATATAATATTCTTATATAAATAATTTACCCATAAATGTTATTTTACTGTAACCTTTATTGCGGGGG